TACATTATTGCAGCCGTTACCAATACATTTTTGCTCCGTGTCAAAAGACAACTAGATGGATTTTTATGAGAATTATCTGCATTTATGTTTAGAACAATACAAAATATGAAAGTAAAATTTATCCTTCTTTCCATTTTGCGCTCACAAATCATTATGCGAATTTCCTTTTACAATTATTAAAGCCTGAAAAACGCATGTCTGCGATGATTTGTAGGTACTTTATTTTTTTGTCACGATATTTTCGACGACGATGTTCGTAAACTGCGAAGTTTTTGAACCGCTTTATTTTCGACGACAGTATTTTGTACCACAACGTTTTAGAACTGCGATGTTTTCTCTTTGCTTTATTTTCTCCACGATGTTTTGTACCCCGACGTTTTCGCCTTGCGTTGTTTTCTCCACGACGTGTTCGTCCGGGATGTTTTGCCGCAATGTTTTCTGCTGTAACCGTCCTTCAAACCGTGAGCAAAACTTCCTCACACTTTCTTCACCAGCATATGATAATGAATGCTTGAATTTAAGAACGTTATCTTCCTCCTTGTAATTAACTTCTCGTCGTCTTCTCTCATTGTATCACTTCTCCTTTCTCCTTGCAATATATGAATTTTTTATGGCTTCATTTACTAACTTATGTGTATAACACATTTTAAATTCTGGGCTCTCATTTGAACAAAAAATTTATCCAACGGCGTAATTAGTTTTCTTCCTAGAAATAATTCTGCTGGCATCTTCCCTATCATGTAATTGTTTAGCCAACTTTAAAGCAAATTCATACTCATTGAAATAGCTATCCCAGCGCTCATGACAATTTTTCACATAGCAACGTATAAACGCTATATTTGACTGCAGCCAATAAGGCACCATTTCTAAATGTCGTATGACAAACCCTGAGCATAGTCCCTCAAATATTTGACTAGTAAAATATTTCCCATTATCCGAAATTACTTTTAACGGCGCTCCGTATTTTAAAAATAACGAGTAAATATCTATTATTATTATATCTATTTCTATTTTATTTCGCTACACATAAGTATCGGCTAATAAGTCTATTTAGACTGATTCATTTGGAAAAGTAGTTTCTGTACTACTATTTAGATACCCGGCCGGGCTATAATGAATGTTGTTAACTAATTGGCAAGTGTGTATACCGCCTCGAGAACTCGCTATCCTGTTTTCTTTATTCCAAGGTGGCGTGACAATGGCGAATCATGCAACTCGTGTAAGATGCTTGACCTTAAACTAGCTGCGGTCTGAATTCATAATTTTGATTTGTAGTTTTTGCATAAAAGAAGAGATTGTCGATAACTTCAAAATTCACAGTTCTGTTCCCGGGGGTCGTAATATCCTGGTGTTCAAAATGATAAGGATTTTCGATAAGCATAAATGTCTTTAAATTCGGGATTGCTTAACATTCTGCCAGAACAGGTTCACGCGAGTCCATGATTTCGTAGCAAACATAGCGCATTCCCTTCCTCATCCAATTTTATTCTTGATAAAACATCGGCCGCCAGATATTCTTTCCAGGAATAGATTTACTCATAAGGTTGAATTCTTGATGTTTAAGGGCCCATTTAATCAATCTTGATGATAAATTCTTTCTCGAATACCAGCGACCTACAGAGGCATGATCAGAATAAATTGTAACGGGAGATGTTCCAAAATATTTCTTAAATTTTTGCACTGTTAACAAAACTGTTATGTTTCTCTCTCGATGGCTGTAAAATTTCTTCGTAGGATTGGCAGTGCTACTAAAGTATGCAACCAGTTGACATTTTTGAGTTAGAACGGTGGTGCCCATTGTGTAATCGGAGGCATCCGCAATGCTCTCTATGCATTCATCGTCTTCAAGAAACTTTAACACCGGTGCCTGAATTAATGCTCATTTAAGTTAACAGAACGCAGTATTTTCTGACTGAACACGTAGATCAAGATTTTTTTTTCTTTTTAATTGTAACTAAGTTTCAGATATTATAGCGAAATCTTTAATGAGAGTCCTATGATATGAATACGTTCCTAAGAATGTATATAATTTCTTTGTAGTATTTCGATATTTTACATTCTAAGTAACGAATTTCGAAGCATTTACTTTTAGTCCCGCTATATTGTTGTTAGAAATCTTGAATCGTATATTTACACGTACTTGTGTTAGGTGATAAATAGAAGTGCTATTATTATTATTGCATAAAATGTTTATAAAGAATTATACACTTAAATATTTTATGATTTAATATTTATTGGTAAAGCATAATCATGAATTTAAAATACTGAAACATGATAATTTTATATAAAAAATACGTTAAATATATTGCATTTTTTAAATTTAAATTCAACCCGTCAGAATGAAGGCATTAAACATAATACCTGTCTTTCTGCTGCTTTCTGTAAGGAACCCGTCTGTCTGCTGTTAATATAACTGTTACGCAACAAAATGGTAAAAGTACTCAACAGTATTTCGGGAAATGTTTTCTCGGCTTATTTTAAGAAATGGGAATGCCACATAAATCAGTGTATAGTTACATAAGAAAGTATTTCGAGTGCAAAAGATCTGCTAATATGCTAAATTTTTAAATTTGTATTTCGTGAATTAAATCGTCACACCACATAAATCCTTTGAGCACAGATTCTAGAGACATCAGGCATTTTTGGAAGCAGGCAAGATGAAAAATTAGCAACGCCTTCGCCGGTAATTGAACCGTGAACCCCTTGAATACCGGCCCAGCGTGCAGTCCACTACACCACGAATGCACGCTAGGAAAGCGGGAGAAATACCTTATAAGCTTACGTAGGCCACGTTAAGATGTGAAACATCGCTAATATAAAATCTGACATTTGGGTTCTATCCAAAGCAAACTCATCTTCAGTTAAGGAGGATGTTTTTATTATTTTCAAGGGCCCACCAGCGGCCGAGCGGTAAAAGTCGCTGAACACTGATAGTTCGGTCCGAGGTTCGAATCCCGCGAACGGGCTGGCTGCATGGGCGTTTTCGTGGTTTTCCCCATGTGTAACGTGTATACGAGCCAGTTCCCTTAGAAAGTCCTACGATCATCCTCCCCTTAGCAGATAGCCCTAGGTGCTTTGCCATAATTAATAACCACACCCATCTATTATCAGTCTTTTAATTAAGATATAGTATCTTTGCGAAACGTTAGTATGGGACAGATAAATATGTACTCCAAAGTAGATGCCTTAAATTAAATCTCTCAGTGACTTGGTTATAATCGGAAGAAGTTTTATTGGTATAAATGGAGCTATCCTTAATTTCAGATTGAAGAGGTTTTATTTTCTTTTTTATTTCTTTTTTATTTCTTTTTTTTTTTTTTTTTTGTGAATTGGCACATTTGTGTCAGTTTTATCCCACTTTGCTGTTTTCTGTGTAGATTTCTAGTAGATTAATTTAGAATACTATTTTTTCCCAAACATATATGCATTTAAGCTTAAATGCACACTGCATTGAGTACAAAATGTTTGGAAAGATGTTATGGCTTAAATATTGTGCATAAAGTAAAATTGCTGCTACACCAATGAATCACTTATAGGAAAGGTAGATAAGAAAATGATCCAAAATATTTTTCATTTATATTATCTAGTATTGTAAGATCTAACCTTCTTAGCTATCATGCAGTTAATGGGCTCTTATGAGTAAACTTGGAGACTTCTCGCACAGGAATGAATAATACCAGCACAGAAGAAGAATATAACAAATCCTTTATTATTCATGAAACTTTTAACACAAAAACACGTACTTCGTGCTCACAATAACACCGACGACTTGCGGTGGAACTTAAGAATAATGTAACAATAAATTCAAAGATGCATTTTAGCTTTTAGCTTTTTAGTAGGTTGTCGAATCAGCTTAGTAGACTAACTAAGCTGACTCAACAACCTACCGGCAATAGACTTATTATATGGCCAAAAGGCGTATCAGCAACTCATCGTAACAGTAGAAAGGACAAAATAGTAACGTGCATTGGCTAGCGAAATCCCCCTCTGAATAAACTTCTAGTTTCGTCTCTTTTTATATTCTCTTCAGTTAACTTTAAATTTGCATCCTGACGAGGAAATGCGAGAGGAAAATGAGAGGTTCAGGAAAGATACCAAACTTAAAATAATTTGTTATACAAACTAAGGGAAACCGTATAATACGACCCTGAAAGTAATATTGATAACTAGAAACAGAGCGCAATTATATTCATTTGTTTATTCGAAACTGTTTCTGCCCGAGGTAACTTTAAACCCGATACGTGTTCTTACTAGTGAAAATAAAATTTAGGCAAAAATGCAAACTTCCGAAAATCAAAATGCAGCTTTTGTTACAAATTTAACATTCTTATAATAATTTATTTGAAATTTAGAGTTCTGCTAGATACATGAAACGAGAGTTATCGAAAATATGCCGCATATTTTGTTCGATTCTTCAGATTTCTTCTTTCCAAAGCGCTGACATTACAAATAAGAATTTTAAAAAATGAAATGAGAGTTCAAAAAGATCTGATTACGTTTTTCTGTTCCTGATCTCGCTCGCCGAGGCTAGAATCATGTATCTTCCAGTCACTAGCTAGCTCTTCCGACCACTTAAACAGGAGATCTTTTCGTGAGATAATTTCTTTCAAGATTTCTTTCGAAAGTAGTGAGATTATAAAACGCATGCCTGAGAGCTGTTCGCACAGTTAGCAGATGGGAATTAAAGTAAGAAATTATCCTTTGGTATTATGTCTCAAAATAAATTTAAAATTATTTCTGATTTTGGAGTGTTTTAATACACAAAACTATTACATTCTTGTGTTAATCTTGAACAGTTCGAAATTTAATTGTAGCTATATTTAGTTAACTGCGTCCATTCGCTTAGCAACAAATTTACGCAAAGTTTTTAACAAACTTGTCAGTCTCGCAATTCGTTCTTGTATATCGCACGGCATAAAGAATAACATACTGAATTAATTGAATGATAAAATTCAATAAATTCTCTCATGAATAAAAATAACCAAATATATCAATTATTCTTGCTTTACTAGTGTACATATACAAAAATTACAAATATGCAGAAACAGATTAGCATGGCACGTGCGAAAAAATGACAGGCAAAATTGTAATGCGTTCCAGATATTTAGCACCATTAGAATAATTATCAAACTAACGCAAGTACAGAGGTTGAGTCATTGTCGATGATCAAAATCTGTCCATGATGTCTATATTTGTGACGGCTTTACAAGTTCTAGCAGGTCAAAAGTCGAAGTAAGAAAAGGTAGTATATTTTTATTTTCAGATAAGTGAAAATTTTATATTTATAGAACTAGAAATAAGAAGTAGTGGTCAAGATTCTAGAATCACAAATGGATTTCTATATTAGGCAAATATGAAGAACTTCGAATAGCACTCTGGGAATTCACATGAAAAAAATATGTACATTTCATTGATGGCTTCATAATTCGAGTCAACATAGGAACAGAATTTTTAGTGTTATTCAGTAATATTACTATAGGAAATTAAATTCAAATTTGGGATATTTCCTTTCCCTTTCAAGCAAAATTAGTGTCAATAAAGAAAGATTTCATATGGAGAATCACATTGTACTAGAAATATTTCAAGATAATGTTGTAATTAAAGTTTTTAGAGGCAGTTGAGATGTTTTGAGAGCTTTATCATCCTGTGAAACCGAATATGGTACTTCAGACATAAAAACGCTTTTCCATCGATACTAGAAAACATTGGTGTAAAATTATTATGGATACAAGGTTACTCTTGCATTCATGGCAATGAACGGGTTGATTTTGTAAAGTCATCAAGCTTTTTCATGCTGAAAAAGTGAAAAACAAGCAATGATCTCGCCGGGAATCGAACCGGTACCTCTCGATACGCGCCGAGTGGGCTACCGTTTCACCACGAAGGCATGCTGGAAGGAGGGAGAAAATGCCTTATATACTTCCCCTTTTAAAGGGCAACTGGAGATTAGGGTCGAGCGCCAAATCGAATTACCGTTCACCACCTTTTAGTTCTGCCACCATTTATAGAGTCATTATGTTATTTTGAAGCAGAAGACGTGAAAAATATGTAGTACCCTCTCCGGAACGCGAATCCTGTACCTCTCGAATACGCACCGCGTATGCTTCCAGCTACACCCCGAAGGCAAGCGGAAAAGGGGGGAGAAAATACCTTATAACTCATTTGCGGAACCATCAAGTCTTTTGAATGATACCGTTATTACCTCTCTTTTCAGAGGGAATTTTAAGAAGCTTGGTTAAAGAAAAGTAGTAAAATTATTGTGATAATGAGTATTTTATGTTAATTAATACATTATTATGATTTGAACCTTTAGTATAAATTCTTCTTTAACCTAAGTAACCCTCACTAGGATGCAAAGTATGCAGTAGAGTGTTTAAGTCAAGAGTTCTGAATGCTTTAGATAAGCTATTGTCGGTGTCACCTGTAGTTTACGTCTTCACCAATTCTGGTGGTGAATATTCCAGCTTTAGCTATTTTGCTAGCTGACATTAAAATTTGCCATGAAAATACTGAACCAGCTTAAATAAGCCAATTTATTTAGTCTTCGACTATACAAAGTTACATTTAATTTGAAACTTCAACTTTGTTTCTGTTTATTTAAAGACTGAATGAAAAGTTATTTGCAGCCTCCTTAGGTCTTTTGTCTAAATATTTTAGACATAGTAGTAACTCGCTTGTCAATTTAATAGGGTCAACAGGACTTTAATTTAATTTATCAGGTAAAAAAAAAACATTAAAAAAGGACATGGAAAGTTTCCACAGTTTGTAAATCTTCTTTGAATATAGAAAGTACGGTATAAACATGGAAAACTATGTGAAGAAACATGGAGAAGCAGATATTAATCTTTAATTTTAAGAATGTCCAATTATTTTAGTCGTAAGAAGTCAGTAAAGTCTCTTTTAAAAAATAAGTTACTGTTTACAACTCAGAATAACGTATTTATATAAATAGAATACTGAAGTTCACTACTACGGCAGACGACTTCAATATGCACATACAAAGCTGAAGAGCATTAACTTTTAATCTTATTTTGTGATATTATATTATAAGCTTATTAATCTTACTTGTAGAAATCTTACTTGTAATTGTAGTATTATAATAAAATTAGATACATAGTATTTACTTACTATGTATCTAATTTTATTATAATACTACAATTTATTATCTAATCTTATCTAATATAAAAATATAAGCCGTATTACAAAGTTTCACAGAATATTGTGTCGTAAAATGTGTAACAGTTTTACGTTATTAAATTTTTATTGCAAATTTCACTTTTTTAAGATGTATTTTTATAGTTTTACTGTAAACATTGTTGTATTCTATGTTATGGAATTTAAATTTAGCACTTTGGTGATGTCAATGCATTCCGCCCTCCAACAGGATAGATTTCGTCTTAGTTTTTCCTTGGAAAGTTAGCATTTTATCTGACTTTCGTGTATGACATGTTCAGATTTTAGCAAAAAGGGCCTTAGTGTTTCCTTAATTAGTAATAGACCTGCGATTTCACAAAACAATATGCTTAATTCATTATATTATAAATGCATTTTTGTCAGAATCCTAAAATATTTGTAAAGAACATTTTTAAATTCAGTACAAAGCTCTTTCTGCCATTATGACATCAAATTTAGAATGAATAAAAAATTTTCTATGAGATAATTTCTTATCAATTCTTATTTCTTAACTTTAAAATCATCTTAATAATGTATGCAATGAGATATGATATGTATGGTAAAACAAGTAACGTAATGGTTCGAAAACCTCACCTCATTTGTTTTGAAGTTAACATTTGTTCCATTATGAGAGCAGTTAAGTAACATCTATTATTTTATTTTTATCTATCAACTCAAGATGCGAAAACCTTATATTTGTTTTCCTTAGAGATCTCGTCTTACTGTTCTTTAGCAAGTCTTCCTAATTGCTTTCGTGCAAAATGCTATTAATCAAGCTCTATTCATTATGCTTAGCTCTTTTCGTTGCAATAATCTCCATTTGTATTATCATATAAGGAGCACAATTCGTTTTCTTCTTTCAACATGTATTTGTACGTTGATAAAAAGAAAGCGTAGAAAAGAAAAAAATGAAAAATCTGAAATGATTCAGATTTTAACGTCGCACAGAAGATTTGTGTTTATCCAACACTTTTTTTAGTAATCTTATTTTTATTATCAAACATCACTTTCTTCGAAAAAGCACCAAAACATTCAAGATTAAAATCACAAAATTTTTAAAAACAATACATTTTCAAAATTTCCAATAGTGTTGCCATTCACTTTTCTTTTTTTTTTTCAGCGTTTTCTCAGTTTATCATATCAATTTTTAGTTTTCTTAGCAAGGTAATCTACACAACGTTTTTGTCCTTTTAACTTTATTTATTAAATTCGATTTTTGCTTGATTGTACCACCTAAAATTCCGCAGGAAAATCAGGAAATATTTAATCACAATAACATAGGTTTTATCACAATACGAGAAATATACATACATTTATGTAGATTTTTCATTATTTAATTTCTTCAAATATAATGCAGTACTCTAACATTTGGTGGCAACAGTATGAAAAGTGAAACGGCTATTTATAGTGAACCAACGGAAAATCGCAAAACGAAAACAATAGTTCTTCAGGGACAAAGCCCCCTTTGGACTACAAACGTTTATAGCACAAAATCTGCAATAATTAATGAGCTACAAAAAATAACTGAAAGTAAATGTACTCAGCTATTATCAGAAATTATTGTATTTCCCTATGCGTCCTGTCATGATGTAAGTGCTAGCACGTCCAACTAGCATACTTGGTTTGAATCCCAGCAAGAGCATAACTGATTTTTCATGTTTCCTGTTCCTAAAACAAGAAAAAGAAAAGGAAGGTTATACATTGTCACTGAAAATGTTATTTGATGCTCTGCAACTGAATGTCCGCTATGTCAGGAATGCCTGGATCAGAAAATTTTGCTTATCCACACTCAAGAGATACTCTACTTCTTTGCTTTGATTTGGATTATGAAACCTGACTGTGTCTTAAAAGAGTGTTTCATTTATAATCATATGAAAATTATATACATTTTAGGAACATCGCGTATTTAAGAACTGGTGATTTACAATTACCTATGAATAATTAAAACTATCGATATTGAATTCAGAACATATACTAGTGATACGTAAGCGTGTTGCGGTTTCGAAACGATTTGGTAAAGAAATGATTCTTGATGAAAAGTAAGCATGATATGCATTTAAGTTGTTTTTTAATAATTTAATAAATACAAGTTTATATCCAAACTTTACAATTACGGACAGAAATATTTGTTAGTGTCCTTTTGAAACCTGTACTAATTCCATTCCTAACCTCATAATGTTAGCAAATATTAACATTAGTTTAATGAACCACGAGTTAACAGTTATTACAACTGAGCTTTCTTTTATATTATTGTAGCTTCTGGGGATAAATTTAAGTTATTTAAACAGTTATTTTATTTGCTATTATAAACTTTGTTTTGAAACTTTCCTATTACTCTTGCTTTCAACCCACGCTATCTTGGCAGAATGTAAAGGAGGTAGCACGCGTGTATTCGATTGAGGTAGAAATAAGTTAGTATTTAAGGAAACGATTTGGAAGATGAATTTTGAGAGACAGACAGCTTGCGTGTGTTCTGCCTGCCTGAAGGCCACTTTGTTATCTTCGATTTACTAGCGATTAGATTTCTGTGGCGCTGAGCGCTTCTAGACATTAAGCTTGTTTATGTCGACTTTTACAAGTCACAGCCTGCCTGCGTGTTAAGTGTCCTGTGAAAAGCTGTTAGACTAACGTAATTCTATTCTAAGTTACTTGCTACTTTTTGAGTTAAGTCAAAAGTGTTGGCTTTTGTAAGCACGAGTCGGTGCCATTTGTGAAAATATTGAGTTAATAAAAGGTCTGTTAGACTAACGTAATTCTATTCTGTTTTAAGTTACTTGCTACCTTTTGAGTTAAGTCAAAAGTGTTGGCTTTCGTAAGCACGAGTCGGTGACATTTGTGAAAATATTGAGTTAATAAAAGGTCTTTTACACCCTTTTCTCTGTTCCATTATCATACTTAAGAATCAAGGATAATTCCTTACATAGTCTGTTAAC